TATATATATATTATTATATATGTGTGTGTGTGTGTGTGTGTGTGTGTGTGTGTGTGTGTGCGTGCGTGTGTGTGTGTGTGGATGTTCTACGAGTAGTATAGCTACATGTTTCACATCCACGTGTGTACACTGTTGGGCTTGCCTGATGCTGAGACGGGTGTAGTTTATTCAACCTATAGTGTTCGTATCGCATCCCTACCATATTTTTTGTGAGAATTAGGAAGGGCTAGTTAAACTGTGTGTATAATACGGTATCGTATACAGTCGTAGGCCTTGTGGCTCAATCAGTTACACTCACACGTGAGGCAATAGTGTCTGTGGGCCACCACATGGTGTTGTCCTGTGCTTCTGTATGTCTGTACTTGACTCGTACCATCGGTTCAACTGATGAGTTGGTGTACTATGCACACGTATAGGCTGCCGAGATACCTATAGCAGCTGATGGCATATGGTAGTACTAACTATATCATGCGCTATGTGTCCCTAAACCCTAAACGCGAAACCCAATTATTCTCCTACCACTTATTCGACTGAATTTCAACTCATTTTCTATGATCCCTAAACCCTAAACCTCTTTGTTCTCCTACCTCTTATTCGACTGAGTCTCAACTCATCTTCCTATGGGTCCACACCCACACCTTAATGGCACAGATACCAAAACTCAAAATTCAAAACCCACAACCTTTAACTCCAAAACCCTAAACCCAATTTATTTTTTTGAAATCTTTGCCCCAATTATTGAAACAGCGCGGATTTTAGAAAAGCTCCTGAATCATCAGAACATACTGGACTGGCGCAGGAAGGGTCTACGACTGTTGCTGATATGGCTCAGTAGTATGGGACAAGAATCGCCACCACACGCCATACTACTGTTCAGGCACTCAATTAGGTAGGGGCTAGGATGGGGGATATGTATGTTTGCGTATGCATGTGTGTGGGAGTGTGTACTTATGCGGGTATGTGTTGGTGTGTTTCATTTACTCATTTGTCAAATAGGTACACCTAAGAGGATGGACTCGTAGTGATATATATATATATATATATGTGTGTGTGTGTGTGTGTGTGTGTGTGC